CGGTACCCGACACTATATAGCTAGCTTTCCTATATATATAGCCGACTTAGTCTAAAGGCTCGTATTATTCTAGTCCCCTATATTAATATTAATCGTACGGGTCCCTAGCTACGGATTACTTTTACATTAAGTATAGTAACTGAATTTAAGAAGGTCCTAATCGATACCTTCGGAGATAGTAATAAGGAGGGCATAGCACTCGCGAAGCTTAAGGCCCTAAAGTAAGGGGGCAAGGAGTTCTCTTATTATAAGGCCGAGTTTAATACGTTAAATGCTATCGTCGGGTACTCCGGTCTAGCTCTTAAGGAAGCCTTCCGAGAAGGCCTTAGCGAGGAATTGACTAATAAAGTATTACGGATATAGGATTACAACTTACTTACCTTTACTTAGATCTGCGACCGTCTCGAGCCCTTAGATTACTCTATCCGGCAGCGTAAAGGCGAAGTTAAGGCCTCTAGTATATAGCGTAGCATGTTCTCGAATAAGTAGCCCTCGTCTAGCTTAAACCCTACCGGCCGCGCTAACTCGGCTCCTTAGACTACTACGAATACGAATCTAGCTAGTAATAGCAACCTATAGCGCCGCCAATCTACCCTAGCCGCTGCTCTACTACCGCTAGCTTCGACAACTCCCCTTACGATATCGAACGGTAGTAACGCTATAGACCTATCGGTAACTAACGGTAGGCGTGCGCCGCTTATATAAGAGCAGCGCGATAAGAGACGCCGTCTTAGCCTATATAGGTACTACGGACAGTTAGGCTACTAGAAGAGCTCGTGTCCGAACGCGCCGGAGCGCGATACCTATAACGCTCGTATAGCGCGCATTGCGGCTCTTGCTAACGGCAGTAACAACATCTCCGATGTTTTATCTACCTACGGAGGCGTGCCTATTAACTAGGAAAACGCCTAGTCTCCGAGCATAGTCGCGCTTAGAGACCTTCCGACAGTTAATAAACAATAGTTTATTTAGCACCGATAGTACTACTAGTCTTGCCTCTAGATTTAGTTTCAGATTCAGACCTTAAGCGTTTAGCATAGCATTAGCATAGATACCTACCGCTATAGTATATTTACGATACCTACGATACTTCGAAGAAGAAGCATAGTAAGAAGAATATAGATCGATCTATACTTCGTCTTAGTACCGCAGCAATAGGTAGGGAACTACTATTGCCGGATAAGGACTACTTAGTATTACTATATACTATATCCTACAACTCGCTAGAGTAGAAATCTGAATCTATGCTCGATATAGGCTGTACTAGCTACGCTTTTATAAACACTAACTATGCGTAAGAACATTAACTTCCGATCTACGATATTCTACCGCGAGACCTCGAGGCATTCGATAGTAGCGCGGTTAAACTAGTTACTTAGATTGCTCGTGCCTAGATAGATATCTAAGGACACCGTAAGTATATCTCATTCTACTTAACTAAGCTTAGTTACTACCCTATAATCTTAGGCAAACTATAGCTTAAGCAGCACGCACCTCGTATTAGGTTTAATAATAATATTGTCCTCTTTAACTCTAACTACTACAAGGCCTATTGCAATAAACACTACCGGTAGATCCGTGCTATTAGCAAATTGCTAGATAACCTAATAGCAACCTCTTAACTATAGTTACCGCCGTCGCCCTCTCCTTTCCTCTTATTACTAGAACTAGAAATAATAGATTACCGAGAATACCGTAATACTCGTAACAAACCCGTACGACCTAATCGTTCGCTATCGCTAGTATTGTCTCTATCGTCTAGTCTGTACTATATAGTCTGCGACGATTATTCTGTCCCTTTAGTAACTACGTCTACGGGCGACGACTTTATAGTAAAGCCGTCGCTACCTCCGAGGAATCTACGAAGACCTCTCGCCGTTGCCGTAATAAAGAGAGCGCAAGCAATAGGCATATTCGCTATTAGTGCTGCACTATTCGACCGTCTTACGGCTACGCGCGGTTGTCGTATATTCGCCGCTTCTCTACGAGATATTAAATAAGCTATCGCTATAAAGAAAGACATCGACCTAGCTACGAAGCTCCCCTCGTACTTATATCGTTATATATCTACGTTCTCGAAACAAGAAGCCGCGACTCTACTACTATATCGTACGTACGACTATAAGATCGAGCTAGTAGAAGGCAAGGAACCTCGCTATAGTCCCCTATATTCGATGTCCTATAAAGAACTAGAAGTCTTACGAGACTATCTATACGATAACCTAGAGAAGGGCTTTATTAGGTCTTCTAGCTTACTAGCGTCCTCGCTAGTGCTATTCGTTAAGAAGCTAGGCGGAGGTTTGCGGTTCTACGTAGATTATCGCAGACTAAACGAGATTACGGTAAAGAATAGGTACCCTATCCCACTTATTTAAGAAACGCTCTCTCGACTTAGCAAAGCTAAGTACTATACGAAGCTTAATATTATCTCTACGTTCAATCGACTACGCGTAGCCGAGGGCTACGAATAGAAGACAGCCTTTAAGATACGCTACGGTCTCTACGAGTACCTAGTTATACCCTTCGGTCTTGCAAATGCACCGTCCTCGTTTTAATAGTATATTAACGAAACCCTCGCACCCTTCCTAGATGTCTTCTATACGGCCTATTTAGACGATATGTTAATCTACTCTAACTTATTAGATAAACATCGAGTGCACGTAGACCGCGTTCTAGAAGCTCTTAGCAGAGCGGGTCTTTAGTGTAACATTAGCAAGAGCGAATTTAAAGTTAAAGAGGTTAAATACCTCGGACTTATCGTTACTACGGAGGGCATTAAAATAGACAAAGAGAAGGTAGCAGCTATATAGGAGTAGCCTACGCTACGTAACGTTAAGGATGTCTAGGGCTTCCTCGGCTTTGCTAACTTCTATCGCCGGTTTATTAACAAGTTCTCGTATCTAGCAAAGCTACTTATAGAATTGACTAGGAAGGATCCGCTTAAGAACCGTTTCGTATAGACCGATAGCTACTAACGAGCCTTTAACGCTTTAAAAGCCGCGTTCGCCGAAGAACCTATACTAGCCTATTACGATCCTAACTTGCCTATTATAGTAGAAACGGATGCATCCGATTACGTAACGGCCGGAGTGCTGTCTTAATAGTATACTAGTTCAACGCGTACGGAAGACGGTATATAGAAACCGGTTGCCTATTTCTCTAGCAAGATAACGCCGGCGGAGTATAACTATAAGATCTACGACAAGGAACTGTTAGCGATAGTGTAAGCATTCGAACAGTAGCGTTCGGAACTAGAAGGGCACCTAGAACCTATCCGGGTACTAATAGACTATAAGAATCTTAAGTACTATATAACTATAAAACAACTTAGTCGCCGCTAAGCCCGCTAGAGTAAGTTCCTTAGCCGCTTCCGCTTTCAGATTATATACCGTACTAGCAAGCTAGGCGTTAAACTAGACACACTTACTCGCCGTTTAGCGGACTTTCCTTAACGTCCTAACGACGCACGTCTCTAGGCGTAGAACTAAGTAGTGCTTAAGCCCGAGAACTTCGACCCTATACTACGATTAAACGCTCTAACTTTTAATAGCTAAGCTATCTTCGAAGCAATCCTAGAAGTAAGTACTAATAATAAGCAAGTATAGCGTATACGCGAGTGCCTACGTAAACGCACGGCTCTAAAGAAATCAGATAGCTCCCTATACTAAATGTTACCCTCTAAGTGCGAGCTAATTGCTAGAGCACTATACTATCGAGACAACCTTTACGTACCGGACCTAAATAGATTGCGAGGCCGCATTATCGACTCCTGCTATACGCATCCTATAGCGGGCTATCTAGGGCGTAAGCATACCTTTGAGCTACTATTACGACACTATTATTAGCCGGAAATGCGAAAAGACGTAGCTACCTTTGTCGGCAATTGCCTTACCTACAAACGAGTCGCTACGTTAAGACAAAGCAAATAGGGTTTGTTACGCCCTCTCCTAGTACTAGCGCACAGATAGCAATACATTACTATAGACCTAGTTACAGGTCTACCGCTGTCCGACGACTATAACTGCGTCCTTGTTATAGTAGATCGTCTTACTAAGATGCGACACTTAATACCGATAAGGGAGGGTAGTACGACCGCAAGCGATATCGCGCGAGTGTTTGTTAATAGAGTCTAGAAACATTATAGCTACCCGCAAACCGTTACTTCCGACCGAGGTCTATAGTTTATATCGTTATTCTAGAGGTTACTATATAAGCTAACTAGCGTAGACCTACGCCTCTTAACGGCTAGGCACTTAGAGACGGATAGGCAGACGGAACGATTTAACTTAACAACTAAAGCTTATCTATAGTCCTATATTAACTACGCAGGAGACGACTAGACACGCTAGTTACCTATAGCGGAGTTCGCTACTAACAATCAGCGTTCTAACAGTATCGGAATGTTACCGTTCTACGTATATTATAGCTTCTACCTACGTATAGGCTTGGAACTGCCTAACCCTAAGGGTTAGGAAGACGACCTAGACACTAATGCCGTCGCCTTCGCGAAGCACGCTTACGACATTAAATAACACGCTTCTCGTTACCTACGCTAGGCCTAAGCGGAGATAGAAAGGTCGGCTAACAAAGTACGACGTCTATATCCTGCCTATTAGGAAGGTAATAAGGTGTTCCTTTCGCTTAAAGGAATTAAGACCGCTCGCAACCCTAAACTAGAGTAGAAGAAAGCCGGTCCTTATAAGGTTACGAAGGTTGTATTACTATATAGCTACTAACTCGCCCTGCCTACGTCTATAGATATATATAACGTCTTTTACGCTTCGCTACTTATACCACTTTCTAACAAACTAGCACTACTAGGCTAAGACTATAATGTAACGCTACCGCCTATAGAGGTTAATAGCGAGATAGAATATAAAGTAGAAGGAATTATAGACTCTCGATAGTTTAGTAAGAGAAAGAATAAGAAGGGCGGTATATTCAAATATAAGGTGTTATAGACTAGCTACGATAAGAGTAAAGCCTCTTAGACGACTGTAGACAATGTCGCAAATGCGACAGAGGCCGTCGCTAACTTCTACGCCCGATACCCTAACAAACTACGCCCTAGTACTATAGCGACGAACAACCTACCTACCTACCCTATTAACGCAGCCTTGCGAGTTAATACCGTTACTACTACTACGTAGACAGCGCCTTTAGAGGGGGCTAGTGTTACGGACCGGCTAGAAGCTAGTCCTATATAGCTAGGTCTTGGCATTAATGCCTTAGGCACTAGCTTTTCGAACCTCTTCCTTTCGAGCGTTTACTAGAACTTTTACCTTCTATACTTCGTCGCCTATAGATAGCGATAGTATTTATTCACTTATCAATCGTTCCTTAATATAAACCCTTCCGGTAATAGATTAGATATCGGAAGTAACGTAGAAGATATAAGGGATATAGTTATTAACGATAGTAATAAAGAATAGTAAAGGGTAGTTATAGATTAGTAATCGGATTATATCTAACTCTTCTTAGTTCTTTCGTTAATCTTCGGAGTAGATACGGAAGAGCTTCGGATAGCCGTTTTAGTATAGGTAGAGCTATATAAATTGCTTCTCGATATCTTAGTAGTAGACAACGATAGAGAATAGCGGGGAGTGTATAAATTTCTAGAAACAGTCGAAATTCAAGCCTAGTAACTAGCACTATAACTAATCGTATCGAAAGCAGTACTAATTATACTAAAGAATTCGCCTCCTAACTAAGTTCCTTACTAATTATAGAACTAAAGATTACTCCGAGGGCTGTATATAATATACCCGATTTAATACTCCCCTATTAAGTCTAATACCTCGGTTACGCGAATATCTACGTACTAGCGGCTATTAATTTCTAATGTCTAACGCTTCTAATATCTACGAGACAGTTCTATCGCTATCGTAGCCGTCGTTACTGTCTCCTATCGGCGTAAGAACGTTAGTAACGAGGTTATCGTCTAAATCTAAGCTAAAGTCGGTAACTTGCGATAACTGCGAAGGAACGGGAGGTACGTATCTAATACGGCCGATAAGAAGCGCTCTTAGCTCGTTAAATTAACGTACCGTAGACGCGTATATTAGCTTTATATGCTTCTTAGAGCGGTTATCGATATCGTCTATTCGGCGGATTAAATAGTAGTTGTTTGTTAGCTTAGAATAGGCAGTTCTTAGCTAGTTTGCTAGTATAGTAATCGCCTCGCGAAATAGCTCTAATACTCGACTTAACGACCTCTCCTTATTTAGCTACTTCTTACTATTAATATATAGCCGACGGCGCGTCGAATGTAGTATTGCAGTAGGAGGTATATTAGCAGCATTAGAAAGAGCCGGATTTAGTAATAGAGTCGAAGGTAATAGGGCTATAACAACTAGGCGCGGTAACGATAGACTTGTAATAGCTACTAGATCCTAAAGCCGCTACGACATAATACGGAGTATATTGTCTTAGACCTACTAAGCCGGAGTCTCGTAAGCACGCAACTCCTTAGTAGTAAGTAGCTTATTACAGAGCTTCTTATTATTATATAATATAGTATCCTTAAAGCGATTAAGTATCTGTTTAAACTCGGAGTCGTTAACAACAATACTAGAGGTAGTAAGAAGGACTCTATACTCGAGAATACGCTTTATAATCTACCTGCGAATAAGGCCGTCTATACCTCGGATAGTACGTTATCTAGTAGGTCGATTATCGTTATACTACTTCTAATAGCGCTTTATTATATCTCTTATTCGTCCTTCTATATAATAGCTAGAGTTAGCCTCGAAGTGCTTAATAATTAGCAAGGCGAAGTCGTCGGAAATCTTACTATCGCTATTAACTCGATTGTAGTCGTATTCTATACTTTCTTCTATACCTTTAGTAGAAGACTAAGAGTCGCTCAAATCTAGTATAGGTTGTTAGACTATAACCTATTGTTGTCGCTCCGATTGCCGCTAAAGGTAAGCCGTTAAGGAGGTATCTATACCTCTAATAACGACTAGCCTAGGTAGAGTTGAATTTAGTGTCTAATTAGTAGCAATACTGCTATCGCTGTCGCTATAGTTTGAATTAGTTAACAAGCTCGCTACGGACATAGAGCGGCTATATAGTAGCCGCTTAGCTAACTAGATTGTAGGTAATAGACTTCCGATTAAATACCGTAGCGCTAGCAAGAATAAGGAGACATCTATATAAAGAGGGTTACCTTAAAGAGCTACGCGGATAGGTATAGGCGGTGCCTACGGTAGATGGACTAGTATAGCAAATACTAGTATTAAAGAGCTAGAGCTAAGGTCGATAATACGAGAGAGATAAGAGGGGGTGTCTATAGCAGCTATAATCGAGAACAATAGTAGTTATACTAATAAACTAAGACTTATACTGCTTCCGTAGACGCCTCTTATCCTATAGACGATATACTACAATTAATCCTTAATTAATCCTCGAATTTAGGTTCTATTTGCTAGCCCCTATTACTAATTATACTAACGGCTATATACCTAGACATTTATATATATAAGCTAGTGCCCTCTCGCACTGCTATCTCGAAGACCTAATAGCTACTTTCTACCTTACCGTCGCCGGTTATAGTGTATAGCTTATTCGGTAGTACTAAGAAGCTAATTTAATAAGCTAAGCCGGATAGGGTTTAAGCCCCCTTCTACCTCCTTCTACTTCCGGTTAAGGCAGGATTACTACCTATGCGAGTTATAAATATAGCGTATTATATGCTTTTAAACGACTCCGTTTAAAAGCACGGTCTAGGCCTACGAGTTAATAACTCGTAGGGATAGAAAACTAGCCTTCGAAGGATGCGGTAGTAACCCTCGTATCTACCTTGTTCGCCGACCTCGAGAGACCCTTGCAAATTAGTAGCTTCTAAAGGTCCCTACTTGCGACTTAGGCGTAAGAAGGGAAGGATTATAATTCCGTTAGTTCTGCTTTAAGGATCCCCGAAACGAAGGCCGTAGTTATCTCCGCTAAACACGTCCTCCGGTCTCGGCAAGACTATATTATTAGCAATCCATATAGTATAATATCGCATAGAGACCTCTAAAGCCCTTACTAGCTACTATATAGAACTATAACGTAGGATAGAGGAATTAAGTAAAGAATATATATAGAATTAGGCCCTATAGCTAATCCTAGCTATTCTAGGTATACTACCTATCTAGCAAACAAGGTTCTACGACCCTTATACTAACGTACAGCTCCTACTATACAATCTTAGTATAATCTAGTATACCTACTAGCGTTATAGGTACTAGTAGAGTCCTTAAAGGGGATAGAGGCCTCTACTATATAGGTAAATAAATAGATATAGAGTCCCTATTATACTACCTATACTTATAGTAGCCTACGCAGCAGTCTATATTATCTTTAACGTAATTATACCTCCTATAGACTATTTTATATATATAACCCTTATATAAAGGTTATCGTAGTACTAGTAGTAGTAGAATAGGCCTTCTAGGCTTAGCCTATCCTATCGCTTCTTAGTAGCTAATAGCGATAGTAAGGTTAAAATAGCGACGATAGTAAGGTCTAGTAGTAGAGGCATTATCTAATAAATTTACCTTAGGCCTCCTCCGCGATCGGATATATAGATTCCTATATAGCTAGACTAGATTCTCGAATAGTCGCGCCTCTATTAGTCCCCTTGTCCGGTTCTATATCTAGTACTAGATTTAGTATAGCCCTGTATAAATCTAGATCGCCCCTCGAACTATAAGGCTATTCGATTAGGTCTCAGATTTAGCCGTAGTAGAGCTAAAGGTTAGGAAGCCGATACCTTTACGAGTCGTCCTTTATAGCTAAAGGCTCTATAGCTATTAAACCTTAGTAAGTAGAGGGATATAATACCGCTAGGTATACTAAGTAGAGAGGTTTATATACTACTTCTATAGATAAATATAGACTAATATATATAATAGGGATCCGGTCCGCTTCCGCTTAGAGTAAGAGTTAAGATAGCGCCGTAGACTATAGTCTAATAATATAGAATTAATAGTAGAAGAGGTCTATAACCTAGTACCGCTAGCGAGTCTATTAAATCTGCGCCTATTTGCTAAGAGTAAGCGCTAGAAGGCACTTATTAAGCGTCTCTTAAAGTACGAGTTAATAGTAAAAGACTTAAGAATAGACCTAGACCTAGTAAACTAGTAATAGGCGGAGTTAGCGCGTACTAGAGGTAAGGTAAAGAATAAAGAAGGCTCTTAGAGCGACGAGGAGATTATAATAATTATTAGGATAGCTAAGTTTAATAGCCTATAGAAGGAAGTAAGTAAGCTAAAGAATAATGTTATTAAGTTCAAGTCGGCGTTATAGAGCCTACTAAAGGCTTTAGTAAAGGTATTATAGAGCCTAGCGTAGAAGAGCCTACTAAAGGCTTAAGTAAAATTGTTGTAGAGCCTAGCGTAGAAGCGGCTTACGGTTAAGGTTAGAGTCTAGTAAAGAAGGCGTATAAATCTAGTACGTAGTGTAGTACTGTTTTTCAAAGTAGCTACGTCCGTATAACGTCCGTATACCGGCAGATAACGTAGGGGATTAGCTAACGTGATAGATGGAATGTGCTAGAAGCGGCTCTATAGGTATAAAACGCAGGTACCTAAACCGTTTAAGAACCTTACTTTAAACAAACCTTACTAGTTTTTTTAAGCGAGCTAACTATATCGTAAGAATATAATACCTCTATACTACCGATACCCAAATACCTACCCTACAAGTACCAGCAGGAGGCCTCGCGCAGGAATACACACAGCCTTAGCGACCTCGGCTAGACTAAAAAGGCAATTATAGCCTTAACCCCTATACTACGTATAACTATTAGGCGCATTTTAAAAGCTAGGGCCAAACCGCTAAGGAAGGCCCGGGATTAGCTACTTAGAATGCTAGACTCTATAGATATAGAGAGATTAGCCGATATCTATTTAGACAATCCGACTAATCGGGATAAGCCGTTTATTTAGATTATAGCTAAACTTAGTATCTACGTACTAAAAGCGGTTATTAGCCGCTCGCTTAGGGCGTAGGGTCTTAGCCGCTATTAGGGGATAACAAAGACTAAAACTTCACCTTATAGTTAAGCTAACTAGATTTAATAGTTAACTAATCTCCTATAGTAGAGTAACGTTAGAATACGTTATATCTTAGTAATAGACTAAGTTGCCTTTAGAATTAGTAT